CTGGGAAAATACCAAAAAAAAAAAGTCTGCAGGAAAATTCCCCACTCCATTTTCCTACCAATCGATCATTCCTTATTTGGGATCGCAGGATACCGTCTCTAGCTCCGTTCTCAGGGGGAAAGAGAGGGGGAGAGAGGAGAGACTTTCGCCTTCATGCAAGGAAAGCAGCAGAAGCAGCTAAAGTCTTTCTTTCTCTCCCATAAACTCCGCCAGAAATGAGTCTTTGCCGGTGCAGCCTCTTGGAGCAGGAGGCCTTGCAGGGTCCCAAAGACTCATTTCTGGCAGAGTTTGGGGGAGAGAAAGAAAGACTTTTGCTGCTTTCCTTGCATGCATCCAAAAGCAGAAGAAGAAAGAAGCGGAGATAAGCAGCCCGGTGGACAGGACAGGCACGTGGGGAGAGTGGGGCAAGTTCCCCCCCTTCCGCCCTTTCCCCCCTCCCCTCACTATCTCATGTTGTTCACAATAAAAGGGACGCAAGCCTTGTGTTCCCACGGGCCATGTGGGCAGTGCAGCCTTTGTTCCCGCATAGCCTGGATTAATTGCTTTGGGGGGGACATTTCTCTGTGGACCACCAAAATTTTCTCGTGGACCAACAGTTGCCGACCACTGATCTAGAATAGACTTTTGAGGTCTTCCATGAAGGATGGTTGGGTTCGCTTAGGTAGAATACAGAATATAGAATAACATAGAATGGAACTTGCACAATTTCTGAAGGAAAGCCATTCGCACCTTTAGGAAATGTCTCCTTAGTTCTAGTTTGCTTCTCTCCTTGATTCATTTCCATCCACTGGTTCTTGCCTTGCCGTCTGGTACTACGTTTGACCCACACACACACCCTTGAATCTTAGCATTCGGTTTGCAGAGTTGCTCTACCTTTTGAGACGTCTTTCCTTCCCATCCTTTCATGCCTTTGTGAAAGCTGTACTTGTGCGGAAATCCTTGAAGGAATGCGATTGCCTGCTTCACACTGCCCAGGAAGGCAATGGATACGTTTTCTGCAACAACCAACTCTCTATTCAGGTTGGCACATTGTACAAATCAGGGACAGAGAGTGATCAGATGGAGAAAGAAGGTCTACCTTAAGAGGGGCATTTTCTATCACTCTTCTACATGAGCGAAAAAAACCCAACCCCTCTTTTCTACACCTTTTTTACTGTTATTTTTTTATTATTTTTTATTTATTTTGATTTGTCAAGTGCTTACAAGATAATAGGTATAAGTATATACATAGTTATGAATGCATGAAATGGGTACATATAAGAAAAATAAAAGAAACAATAGGACAGGGACGGTAGGCACGTTGGTGCGCTTATGCAGGCCTCTTAGGAAAGGGGTGAGGTCAACAGTAGACAGTCTAAGGTTAAAGTTTTTGGGGTTTGGGGAAGAAACCACAGAGTCAGGTAGAGTATTCTAGACATTGACCACTCTGTTGCTGAAGTCATATTTCCTGCAATCAAGTTTGGTGCGATTTACCTTGAGTTTGTATCTATTGTGTGCTCTTGTATTGTTGTGGTTGAAGCTGAAGTATTCATTGACAGGTAGGACATTGTTGTAGATAATTTTATGTACTATACTTAGATCGGACTGAAGGCGGTGTAGTTCTAGATTGTCTAGGTCTAAAATTTCAAGTCTGGTGGCATGAGTGGAAATCTGTCCATGCACCTTTTTTTTTGTTATTGATTTATATTTATTGATCTGATTGATATCATGTCTTTTCCTCAAGAGCTCAAGGTATGCAATTCTGCCTTCATATTATCACCACTTACAACGAGTAGAGGAGTGGAGAGCTCTTCTTGTGAAATATTTCTGGACTTTCTCAACTGTGCTGATATCAGATATGTATATGTATATAATATCAGATACCTTCACAGTCTTCTTTTCTACAAATGAGAAGGTATAGAAGAGAAATGCTTCCTTGGTTTTGGAAATAGGTAGTTTTGGCTAATAAAGGAGAATATTGGTAGCTCAGAGTTGAGCTATAGTTTTGGCCAAGTTTCAAGTTGTGTTTACAGGCTTAATGAAGCCAACTGGACTCCCAAAGCTAAAATAATAATAATTGAGGATCAAATTTTCAAAAGTCAGCATCGAGAAAGGCATAATCTTAGGTCTTGTTTTCCTGGTCTAGGAATAAAAAAATTTCCTGAGAAGCACGTCAGGGTATTGTGATATATGGAAGGGGACGTCTATTATTAAACTGCAAAACCAAATTCACAACTGAAGGAAGGGAGAAGTGGGTGCTGATTTGTAGGCATCACAGCTCCACAGCTTCAGATCAGCGGTGCCAAAAGTAGATGGACAAGGTGACCTTCCCAGAATCAGAGGTCCACCATTCGAAGCTGTAATGATGCCCTCAGAGCCTCAGGGGTAGTCTTTGGGGGCCTCCCAAATTCTTTCTGACTCTATCTATCTATCTATCTATCTATCTATCTATCTATCTATCTATCT